CACACACACACACACACACACACACACACACACACACACACACACACTCCCCTGCACCCGAATTGTTACCTGGTTTTCTTTGAGCTTATTCATGACCTCCGTGAGGGCTGGATAGCCTCCTTCATACCTCCAGAGGTGGACTGAAATGCATTTAAAAGATAGCACACGTTTAGTCTCCAGGCACTCTTACTTTGACTATACAGAGTTCATGCCATGTGAACACAGTACAGCATTGTAGTGTGCCTTGTATCTACCATATGAACATACTACAACATTGTAGTGCGCCTGTATCCACTACAGGAATCAGTACAACACTGTAGTGTGCCTGTATCTGCCCTTGAGTTATTTTACAAAGTTTTCATAACAGATTTGAACATTAAAAAAAGTAACTTTTACAGTGAATTACTGTAGAAACCACTTGATCCGTGAAACCAGAATGGAACTTGAAAAGGACTATAAAAACAAGCACTACGTTTACAAAATAAGATATTCATCCCAAAGACTTTTGTTTCCTACCGGCTTGATCCTGCTCGCCATACCATGTGTTCCACGTTCCCACCAAGGTACAAGGGTACTGCTTGCCTTCATGGATCTTTGGTAACACTTCTTGACTTAAAGAGAAGAGACAGCAATGCTGATTAAACCGGGGAGAGATTTCCCGGTAGACAGCACCGGAGCATCAATTGAAACACAACCACTTCCTATGTATTTTAGCAACCGAGCCCATACCATCCATATGTGTTTTGTTTGTTTGTTTTAGATTTATTTATTTCATGTGTATGAATGTTTTCTCTGCATGTATGTCTGTGTACCATGGTGACCCTGGTGCCCACAGAGGCCAGAAGAGAGCACTGGATTCCCTGAAACTAGAGTTACAGACGGTTGTGAGCCACTGTGTGGGTGCTAGGAGTCAAACAGAGTCTTTTGCTGGAGTAACAAACCCTCTAAACCACTGAGTCATCGCTCCAGCCCCCTACACAACATATTTGTAAAATCGTGTCCGGAGCTGAAGTGTTAGCCAAATTCCGTTGTCTATCAGCACCCACTCACCAACAGCTTAGGTTTTAACCCCAGGTTATTTACAAGAGTTACAAGCAACTCCTGCGGTGAGATAAAGGTGTTTACAAAGGACCAAGGTCCCAGAGTCCAGGAGCCTGGGCTCTGTTTGCTATTTCAAGAGGAAGAAGAAAAAAGCTACTGAGGAACGAACGTGATGTTTATAGAAGTTCTGCTGGTTCCCATCGAGAAAGAAAGTTGAGAATTACATATAAGATCATGGAAGGAACCAGAAAGCGGGGAGAAGCATTCAAGCCAGAGGTGAGCAATTGGCTGCTCAGTGGGAGCAATTGGTCAAAGCAGTGGGAGCAAGCCTTTGGGAAGAGAGACAACAGCCAGGTGTAGTGGTGTGAATCAAGCTGGCCCACAGCCCCCAAGGCCGCCAGCATGGTTAACAATTGGAAGAATCAAAATGAAATATACACTTGAAGCAACAATTGGTTTCATACCATTCAGCCAGCTACAGGGATCTCAAAAGTATCACAGTGGACACCCCACCCGACTCAGGACCACCCAGAGCAGGATTGGTGCCTGAGCCTCGACACAGCCATGTGTGACTTTTAACAGGTGTCATATCCAAGCCTGACTCCACAGAAACCTTCCTATGGTGTAGACACGGTCTCATGTAGCTGATGACTTTAAACTTGGGACCGATTTTTCCCAAAAACTATACGCATATGGTACCTGTCTAGCTATACAGAAAATTAATACTAGACCTTGTCTCAAAAACCTGAAAGAAAAAAAGAAATGCTACTGATTCCATTTATCTGCTGACAATACATCATAATTACAGGAGGTTGGTGACAGGCACTACATGTTGTTATTTAGTGTTTTTTTTGGGGGGGAGCATGAGTACTCTGTCTTCATGTGTGCCTGCATGCCAGAGAGGGCATTAGATCCCATTATAGATGGTTCTGAGTCACCATGTGGTTGCTGGGAATTGAACTCAGAACTTCTGGAACAGCAGCCAGTGCTCTTAACCACGGATGCATCTCTCCAGCCCCCAGAGTTTTGTTTTGTTTTTGACACAGGATTTTACTGTGTAGCCCTGGCCAGCCTGGAACTTGCTAGGTAAACTACGGACTTCAAACTTGCAATGGTCTCCTGCCTCTGACCCCTGCCCCCCAGCATGCCAGTGTCTGATTAGAGTTACATGATACCACATTCACCTAATTTTATAGTTGCTTTTCAGATAAGGTCTTGTTACTACATTCTCCCGGCTGGCCTTGATCTCACAATCCTGCCTCAGATTCTGGAATTTTAGAATCACAGGCGTGCACCACCAAGGATAGCCCGAGTCTATTTCTTGAGAGGTGGCATTTACTTTTTTGTGTACATTGATTTAAAAAAAAATCTTAAACTATGGTATTAAATATGCCTGATATATAAGCCAGGACTGTTTAGATATAATGCAGATCTGGGGTGGGGACGACAAATTAGTTCGAGTTTCCTTCTGTGCCCTGATGCGTGCGGCAGAGCTACTGTGGGGGAGCAGCATCAATATGGACAACCAAGCTGGGGTCCGGAAAGGTCCCGGGTGGGGGTGGGAAGCTTTCATCTACATGGATCCACATAGGAAATCAGTCCGTTCTTTGTGCAGGGCCCCAAACTTGCTCTTACAAGCCCAGGCCTTATCTAAGCAGACGCTGGGAGACAGGTGGTATTTGTACTGAGAACTGGGTGGGTGGGGCAGAGCTCTTGACAGGGGCCCCTAAAGACCAGGCAGCAGTTAGGTTACGGGATCAGGTGCTGCAGAGAATTTTAAAGAAAAGGAAAAAACAAACGAAAAAGCACAGATAAAATGTCATTTTGTTTGTGGGGAAACTAAGAGATAAACATTTTTGGTTCTGGTTATATTTATTTATTTAAATGCTTATTATTATTATTATTATTATTATTAGTGGTTTTTGAGACAGGGTTTCTCTCTGTATTCCTGGCGATACTGGTACTCTCTTTGTAGACCAAACTGGCATCGAACTAAAGAGATCCGCCTGCCTCTGTCTCTCAGGTGCTGGGTTTAAAGCCATGTGCCACCACAAGTGGCCAAGATATATTTTTATTTTATATGTATTGGTAGCTTTGGCTGCACGTATGTCTGTGCACTATGTGCATGCAGTGACTGTGGTGGTCAGAAGATGGCGCGCTGCATCCCTTGGACTGGTGGGGGCTTTAATAGGAATGGATCCCATAGGCTCATATATTTGAATGCTTGGTCCTGAGTTGGTGGAACTTTGAGAAGAATGAGGAGGTGTGGCCTTGTTGGAGGAGGTGTGGCCTTGTTGGAGGAGGTGTGTCATGAGGGGGTTAGAACTTTGAGGTTTCAAAAGTCAGTGCCATTCCCAGTTAGCTCCCTCTCTTTGCCTCATGCTTGTGGATCAGGATCAGGATGTAAGCTAGGGGCTACTGTTCTACCAGCTACCTGCCCACCTGCCATCCTCCCCACCATGATGGCCAGGCTCACCCTCTGAAATGGGAAGCCCCCAATAAAATGTTTCTTCTGTTGCCTTAGCCATGGCATCATTGCACAGCAACAGAAAAGCAACCAAGTTATCACTCATCACGTGGGTGCTGGGAACTGAACCCGGGTTCCTCTGCAAGAGCTGGAAGTGCTCTTAACCACTGAGCCATGCTTCCAGATTTTTATTTTTAACTTACTGGAAAAAAAATTAGCCAGATAAGGTGTCACTATGTACTCCGAATTGGCCTGGAACTCACTATGTAGACCAGCCTGGCCTTGAACTCACAGAGATTGGCCTCTCTTGGCCTCCCGGGTGCTGGCATTAAAGGCATGCACCACCACAGCTGGCTGAATTTTTTGAAAGAGTTTCACATTGCAGCCCAAGCTGCCATCCAGCCTGGAACTCACTAAGTGGTCAAGAAGAACTCGGAACTCCTAACCTTTCTGTGCTCTCCTTTCATGTGCCAGCATTACAGACCTTGTCACCAAGGCCACCCCAGTTCCTCACACAGGAGGACAGTGTGGCAGTTTTACTTAGGGAAAAACAGTGGAGGTCATACTTGTAATTGCTAACCCTCCAAGCTGTCCAGAGAGGGAGTTCCTTAACCAAAGTCAGCCAGGAAGGCCTGGAGGGACTCAAGGTCAGGTGGATGGGAGGGTCTTCCTGGGTCCTGATGAGGGAGCTGTGAGTGCTCAGAACCAAAATGCCACTGGCAGTCCCCCCCCCCCCAACTCAGGCCAACCTCTGAGCACTCAGCTATAGGGATATCAAAGATAACGCTTCTGCTACGGAGTGTTAGCAGGTACCTCCTACCACCCCAGGAAATGACAGTTTGAGATACACACCAAATTTTGTTGTATGCGTCTAGGCATTCCGGCTTAACGTTGTGAACTGAAAGGAAAAGAAAATGCAGTGATGAACGTATGGACAGACGGACGGAGTCACGCACAAGGACGGCGGATGGCCGCTACTCACACTGTAACTTGTACAGACTGCTTGTCTCCTTCTTGGCCAGGAGGTTGGAGTGCGCATCTTTTCTGGGATCCACCTTTCTGACAAACAAGGACTTGAGCCAGCTGTCCTCCCGAGCTCTGTGACTTGAGGACGTCACCCTTCTAGGAAAGAATGAACAGCATTCTGAGCCGGGCGCTGGTGGTGCACGCCTTTAATCCCAGTACTTTAATCCCAGAGGCAGAGGCAGGCAGATCTCTGTGAGTTTGAAGCCAGCCTGGTCTACAAGAGCTAGTTCCAGGACAGGCTCCAAAGCTACAGAAAAACCCTGTCTCGAAAAACAAAACAAACAAACAAACAAAAACAAAAAAGAAAAAGAAAACAGTATTCTGGCTGAATATTTTCACAACCTTAGTGTTCGTTAAGTTCTTTCATAGTTCTAGAAGCACACTGTTTTTTTCATAACACTCCCTGCCATGCCTCCCGAGGTGAAGCAGGCAAGATAAGCAAGGGACAAAGATAAATATACGAAAACCTATTATTAGAAAAAAAATGAAACCTACTTTATACACAATTTAAAAACTGGTTAGAAAATAGTCTGGGTTCTCTGGCTCAGCGGGTAGAAGTGCCAGCCATAGGCCTGGCCTGGTGACCTGAGTTCAATCATCAGATCCTGCCAGGTGGCAGCAGAGAACCAACACCCGAGGGCTGGCCTGACTTCCACAATGTGCACAAGAGAAATAAAGTAGTTTTAAAAATTAAATAGGCTGCGACTATAGGTTAGAGGGGTTCAACACCTTGCCTGGCTTGTGATTTCTTTTTGGAGGTATGTGTGGGTTGGGGATAGGTAGGGTCTTTATATATAGTCCTGGCTGTCTTATGAACTCACTACGTAGACCAGGCTTGAACTTACTGAGATCCCCCTCCCTCTGCCTCCCAAGGACTGGGATTAAAGGCGTACATGCCCAGCATATTTACTTGTTTATTTATTTTTGAGACAGGGTCTCTTGCTGGCTTGGAAATCTATCAAATAGGTTCATGGGAGTGGCCAACAAGCCTTAGGGTCTGCTTGTCTCCACCCCCCTAGTGCGGGATTATTAGCACAGGCCACCACACCTGGTATGCTGGTGCACACTTTTAATTCCAGTACTTGAGAAGGAGAGGCAGGCAGATCTGAGTCTGAGGTCAGCCTGTTTGAGAGTGAGGACAGCCAGAGCTACATAGAGAAACCCTGTCTTGAGAAAGAGAGACAGAGACAGAGACAGAGACAGAGACAGAGAGAGAGAGAGAAGAAGAAGAAGAAGAAGAAGAAGAAGAAGAGGAGGAGGAGGAGGAGGAAGGGGATGGTGGGTAATGGAGATCACACTCAAGTCCTCTACAAGGACTTTACTAACTGAACTAACTCCATAGCCCCCCCATATATATGTATATACACACACATATACATATATATATATATATAATTTTCTACATAGATAATTTTTATAATTTGAAAGAAAGATTTCTGCCCCCCTCCACTTTCATGTATGCCTGTGGTGTGCACCTGTAAGCTGAGGCTGATGTGCGAATTGTTCCTGACTGCTTTTTCCCTTATTCAACGAGGCAGGGTCTCTCAGGCAAACCTAGAGCTCGCCATATGACTCAACCTGAGGCTTGCCTTACAGGTGGGGAGCTGGGGAGTGGAGCCCTCTCCCCCAGTCTTAAAAGGGCGGTCTGGGGCTTTAGCAAGCACTTTAGCCACCATCATTCTGTAGCACAGGCTAGCAGGAAACTCAGGGCAATCCTCCTGTCTCACTCACGAGTGCAGGGGTTAGAGGAACAAATTTGGTTCCAGGTACTTGGGACAGGCCTGAGCAGCAAGTCTTGTTTGTTTTTTGAGCCATCTTGCCTGTCCATTTCTTTCTTTGAAGAAAGGGGCTCATATAAGCCAGGCTGGACTTTAACTTGCTGTGTTTTTATTCTTAATGTATTTACTGTGTGTCTATGCATAGGTGTGTGTGCCGCAGCAAGCATGTGAAGCTCAGAGTGACAAGAGTCATTTCTCTCCTTTCTGACACACTGCATCCTCCAGGCTAACTGGCCTCTGGGATTACAGATGCGGAGCACTGCAGCTGGCTTTTTTATTTTTCATACTTGTTTGTTTATTATGTATGCACTGTTCTGCCTGCACACCAGAAGAGGGCACCAGATCTCATTACAGGTGGTTGTGAGCCACCGTGTAGGTGCTGGGAATCGAACCCAGGACCTCTGGAAGAGCAGCCAATGTTCTTCACCACTGAACCACCTCTCCAGCCCCTGCAGCTGGCTTTTTAAAGTTGAGCTTTGGGGGTTGAACTCAGGTCATCAGGATTGTGTAGGAAGCGCTTCTACTGAGCCATTGTGCTGGCCCCCATTTTTATACATTTTTAAGTGCAAAAATGTACATGCTTCTAGATCACACACTTAAAGTACTAAGAATAGCATCTGATAAAGAGAAAGGGCTTACACATTGCTTCTGGGGAGTGGAGAGACGGCTCCCAGTGTAGAGCATGTCTGTACTGCTGCGCTGGCAGAGGGCCTGAGCTCAGTTCCCAGCACCCACAGGGGGCAGCTCTGACCTCTGCGGGCACTGCACTTACAGGTACATACCCACACATAGACACATAACAAAAACTGGTAAACAATAAATCTTAACGATCTCAACCTTCCAGAGCCTAAGGCAGGGGGATGGAGAGTTTGATGCAGCCTGGGCTACATAGAGATTCTTTTTCTTCGATGTCATATAGCTTTTGTTTTGGTCATCAACCCATTCTCTGAATATTAAAAAAACTTATTTTGAAGAATCTCCAAATGAATCATAGCACATTTAATTTCAATAAAAAAATTAAAATGCTAATTTACATAGCTTACTTAAAAAAAAAACAGTCTGTCTCATTATGCATCTTTGTGTGGCCTGGACCTCCCTGGATATGCAGACTGACTTCAAATTTGTGGCAATCCTCTAGCTTCTGTCTTCTGAATCTAGGTGTGAACCACTACGCCCAGCTTGGTTTCGTTGTTGTTATGTGAGACAGGGTCTCACTATGTTGCTCTGGGTGGGGCCTGGAACTTGCTATGCAGACCAGGCTGCCCTCCAACTCACAGAGATCCTCCTGCCTCTGCCTCCTGAGTGCTGGGATTAAAGGTGTGCATCACCACTGCCTGGCAATGTTTAATATTTTAAACACATATTAATTTTTTTAATGAGCTGGACAAGAGATGGCTCAGCAGCGAAGGACACTGGCTGCCCTTCTAGAGGACTAGGGTTCATTTTCTAGCGCCTACACGTCAGCTCACAGCTGTCTGTAACTCCAGTTCCAGGGAGGGAACCGGACACTTTCCTTTACCTCCATGGGTACCAGGCATGTAAGTGGCACACACATATGTAGGCAAAGCACGCACACACATAAAATCTTTGAAATATTTTTTCTAAGCCTTAACTTGTTGTTTATTTAGTTACATATAAGTCTCATAAACATGTATGAAGCCATGTGAATACCGGTTTCTCCTATTCTTCAGAGTACAATAGATCATTCAGACCCAGAGGCGGTCAGAGGTGGAAGACTGCTCATTGGCAAGTGCCCTGAAGTCATTCTTGCCAGAGGAGTTCCTTGTTAATGGTTCTGTCTCACCGAAAGCAGCACAGGACAGTCACCCCAGCAAAGGAGCTGGGCTGAGAAATTCTGTGTGGTTGAGCTGATTGGAGTTATCACGTCTTGACTGCACCTTGCCTACGCTTGCACCAGGTAATGTCGATGGATTTTTGGAAGAGAAAAACCATGCTACACCCGCCCCCGCTTTTGGAAAGTTTGTACTATTTTTCCACCTTCTTCTGCAGGCCCTTCTGTCTGCTCTGAATGAACTGTTTCTAATCAGTGTGCCCCGAAAGCTTTCTTTGTTAGTCTCTTCCCAAGCCCCCTCCCTTGCATCCATCTGTATGTAGGATATTCAAGGAAAGCACTCTTCGGTGGGACCTCTGGCACCAAGAGCCCCAATTCCTTCTCCTGGATTCCTCTATGAACTGTACAGAGCACAGAATCCATGATTTTTGCCATGATTGTGAAGTCCAGACAGGCTGGCTTAGTACCAGCTAGCTTTTCCCATGGCCTTTACTTATCTTTTTTTTCCCCCAAATCAAACTGCCTAGCAGTCTCATGTAGCCCAGACTGACCTGAAATTCACTATGTAGCTAAGGCTAGCTTTGAACTCTTAACCTTCCTGTCGCTGCCTCCTAAGTGCTCAGATTGCAGGCATGTGCACCCAGTTCCACTCTAATTGTTTTTAATGTGTCCTTCAGAAATGCAAAGATGCATGGTTATTTAATTCTTATTGCATTTAATACTTTATATATATGAATCTAATAAAGGACTATTTGTAGGCTAAATATAGAGTAGAAAAACCCAGTGACACTTTTCTCTTTCTCCTTAGGGCTCAAGGGTATTAAAAGCTAATAACCACATTTCTTTCCGTGGACTGGTTGATGTCATTTGCCTATGGCATTTCATCAGAACCTCAAAAAACAACTTAGCCAGGTATGTCTTGCAAAAGACTGGCTTAGAGAGACCAAAAGATCTGGTAAGAAGTGGTAAGGACAAAGAACATTCAGAATATTTTTACTAATCGTGGAAGCCTCCCAAACAGGCATCTCTGCGGCTGAACGTGTGAGCCTGGCTTTGAGTGTCAAACTTTGAAGTCTGTCTTTGGGTGTCAGCTATCAGCTGACTAAAGCTGGTATGAGAATGTTCAGTCCTGGGCACAGGATGCGTGATACACTGTCCAGTCTATCTCACTGTATAAGCCAGATATGGAGAGGGCTATGCCAAGAGCTGCCAGAGTGATAAGATCCAGGCAAGGCCTGCGTTCTTACTGAAAACCAGACAGATAGATACACAGACCGACACAGACATACACATGGGCGCACGCGTGCGTGTTGGAGAGTTCCCCACTTTTTGTCAAACGCTGGACTTTAGAATAAGTTCTGTGCACTAGGCTGTGTTGATACCAAGTTCAACCAGACGCCCGTCCAGTCTCCTGGGGAAAACAGCCAGGGTGAACACAGAGAGCAAAGCCGACACACGCTGCCAGAGCTCAAGGGGATGAGTCATCAGCGTGGAATCAGCAAGGGATCCAGTAGCGACACTGCAGC